CTGCAATGGTTGATATAGAGGTCTATCTGTTCCATCGAACTACCACAAACTTAGTCTGACTCACTGGATGTAGACTGTTGCTATAAGCCTGCCATTGGCCGACAATTTTGCCAGCATTCCCTCTCCCTTCTGCTATCTGCAAGTTACCGTTTCCAAATTGCCTTTTGCTATGGAAAACTACAACCTCCAAGCTAACAACTTACACATTGAAAAAAGAAAGTTTTGACAAATATGTGGATCTTGCAATAAGGCATGCCTGGTTTGTTCTTTCATTGAATTGCTGTGTGTACCATAAAACTTCAATTAAACATGTACCAGCCTGGTATGGCTACACATTTTGACAAATAAATGTCTCTCTCAATTAGCTGCCTGGTCTGGTTGCCAAGCTTTTTTTTTTTTTTTAAATAGAAGTTCTTCGGATGTATGAAACCAGGTTGTTGGCTACGTCAAATTATGTGTATCTGTCTGTTGGAGCTAGATCAAATGAATGATTCATAATTGATATATTATCTGAAGCCTATTTTTTTTTTTTAACAAATAATATTCATACTGGTTTAAAAAAAAAACAATTTGATTTTATTTCCCTTTCTTTACTGAGCAACAGCTTGGTGTGAAAGGAATTAAAGGCCTGTCCCAATTATAGGGCTGTTGATTTCAGTGATATAAGCAAATAATAGCCCGCTATCAATTGAAGTTTTATGGTATGTAAGGTCTTCAACAAATAAAACAATCTGTGAAAGCACCTCAGGACTCTTGATCTGTCAGTCTGTTTTCTGACATAGCCAGTTGGAGTTGATTTGCCACACCTTCCAAAACCTCTCCAGTCAAACAATACCTGAATACAATCTTTCCCCCTGAGGTCTGATCTCAGACCGTACTGACTCCCCACCGAATCAGCAAACTTTCTTTTGCCCCTGTCTCTAGAGCCGCTCTCCTCCTGGAGAGTTTGCTCCATTAGCACAAGCTAACACATCAGCAGTGCTAACACCCAAAACTGAACTGTTAAACAGTCCCCAAAAACTCACACTGACAGCAAAACGTCTCCACTCTGTCTTTAAATCCATTAGGTTAAAATACTAACAGTTAGTCCTGTCACTGTGTGTGTTCCCCCCAACACTATTTTGCAAGAGCACTGTCACTGCATTATGTTCACACTATGTATGTTCTCACTGTGTTCGCCAGTTAGTCACTAACTGTGTTTGCCTGTTGTTTGGTGCTGGACAGGTAACCTACAGTGGTTTTTTTGGGCTTTTACTCCGAATACAACTGCCTGCTGAGGCCAAAAATGATGCTATGAGAATGAAGTAAAACAGGTAAAGGGTGGCTTCGGTATTTTTCAGTCTAGACCCAATTTTCCCACTTGTTTGTGGCTAAGTCACATATCAGAACAACAGTTTTTAATTTTGGTCAAGTATCGAGCGGGACCACGGCAGCAGTAGGCTGCAATGTAACCACTTGGTTCATGTTCACACCATCAATTTACGCCAACTGACAGTGCTTCTTTTTGCTGCTGACAGGCTCAGATTATTAATATAATTGTCAACATTGTGGAATGATCCCAACAGAGATACACCTTTTTGTTAGAGAGTAAGATCATTTTTATCTTAAAAGAAACAGCCCTGAAATCGCCATCATCAGATCCACTAGACTCTATTTAAATCCGTAGTAAATATTTCATTGCAAAACACACTTGATTTAATGCCAACAGAAGCAAAATAAAACTCACAAAAACCATCTTGGTTTATCTCTCCACTGTTCCAACAATCACCAACTTGAGTTTGAACAATGCTGCGCTTTAGCCAATCACAATGGAGGGGGTGTGGCCGAGAAGTGCAGGTGTCAGCAGGAAATGTGTACCTACAGAAACAGCAAGCTCCGCGTCCATAGCAACCGCTCCACCCAAAACGCTGTCTCGTCAACGTGAATTTTTTTTTTTTTTTTTCCAGCAGATGTCTGAGTTACAACATGATTGAGCTAACTGGAGTAGTTTCATGTCGTATCCAACAACGGGAGGCTTTTAACAGATGACGTCCTGATGTTAGCTTTGCTAACTGTCCCTGTCAGCTGCAGCCACTGATGCTTTCTAGACATCGTGATTTCCCATAACTGAATAAATACCACACATAGCAACACAAAACTGCTTTGCTAGCTCAATCATGTTGTAACTAAGGTATCCGCTGGAAAAAATATTTTATTCACAGACCGTTTATTGAGTTATTACCTTATTTTTATACAGTCTATGGTTATTATTACAGACACCGCTAACGGCTAACGTTAACAGCTAACGGTTAGCCCAGCTAATCTACGATAACCATGTTATTAATTACAAAACGTGCACACAGAAATAGTAACGTTTGTTCAATCATTGTGTTTATAGACTTAACAAACATCAGATTAGTCTACACGGTGATATAGTGACGTGAAAAATATGATATATAGCTAAACTCTGCTGGTTTTCTACCCGAAGTATTTGTAAACAACACGGCGATTCCCTGGGGGCACCACCAGAAGTGAAGGGTGTGAGCAATCGCAGAGGCCCCTGCACTTTTGTTAGTTGTTTTTTTTTTTTTTTTTTTTTTTAACCAATGGATTTCCAGATTGGGAAACTACAGAATCACCACTATATGCCGATTTGTAAAAAAAAAAAAAAAAAGCAGTGGATTCTATGGCTGGTTGCTTCTTACAGTCATCACACCCTGCAGCTGTCAGGGTGTTTCCTATTTACAGCACAATGCATTATTACACTATTGTCTTTTTTCATACCTTGCTAAGCTTGAGTTGTCATCCTTAAACATGTTACTAAAATTAGCAGACATTCCTCACTCACTGTAGCCAGAATCTTTGTCTGTCTGTTTATGACACTGAAAACTTAAAAATTCAGCTTTGCAGACAATATGTTTCAGGTACATGAGGTTTAAAGGTCATTCTTCACCTCGTAAACAGTAACTGAGAAACAATATCATCACAAAGGTCTATTTATAGGCTGCTCTGGAGCTTTTAATAATATTATATGATCTTCCTCAGCAGAGGCCTAGCTTTCATGGAATAGGAAATGGTTAAACTTCCATTTTGTTCCTGAGCATATTGTTAGCACTGTTTGCAGCATTAGCTACTAGCAGCTGGCTCCACCACCTCCATGTTGAGAGGAATGTGAAGACAATTACAAATTATAGATATGCTCTGTATATCTTATAGAGCTCTTCAAGTACTTGACCCCAACTCAAAACTAAGTGAAAAGCCAGCTTTTTGAATTCAACACATCAGCACATTGATTTAGAAAAGCTTTACTGTACTTAATTAGCCCAGAAATCTAGAAAGATTTAGGGTCTGGCTATGAGTAATGCAAATGGCCCAACTCCAGGGGTGGCACCAAGCATGCATTTGAAAATATCACTGCACACAGTTGAATAACTCTACAACCAATGTACAACCAAAAATGTCCTTCTTGCAAAGGAAAGATTCGAGCGCCGTCTTCTGTTCCTCTTTTAGAGAAAAAGCCAAGTCTAACTCGATCATTGTAGTGGCCAAAGCCGTTTCAAACAGCTGGTGTTCATCCGTAGCCATCTTGCAATGTTTACTGACTGATTCTGGACTTTGTCATCGCAGCACTGTCATCATCTGTTTAGCTCGTCTCTGGCCCGCCTATATCAGATACACCGATGTGATTGGTGCAGCTCAGCTCCAACGGCATGGGTAATGAGCATCATTACTGATTGCCAGAGTGACTAGCTGAGCAAATTCAAATTGTGCTCTCGCGAGAACTCTGGATTTCCAGGGTAGTACTTAATTGCTTTACAGATTACAATCAAAGCAGAAAATGCAAGAATTCTTTCGAAAAGCTCCAGTCAAGGTTTAATTTTCTCTGCACTGCTACATCTTTAATATCAGTTGGCCCTTCTTCTAACATGTAATTGCAACATGCTTGCACTCCTGACATCTACAGATTATAAAATCACCACACACATAAATGGCAGATTAGTTTACTTCCCCTCAGGCATCATTTGTGTTTCTCAATAGAAACTTTATAGCTATGTATCACATTGGCCTTTGTCTTCATTAGACAGCTCTGTCTCCTGCCTTCACCAACAGTATCTGCTGTGCAGGGACAGCAAAGTAATGGTGTGTCAGTGCAGTATGTCCAGATCAGATGTAAGGTACACCATATCTATAATCTGCATCACAGACTCCACGTCCCTTTGAGTCTCTCAAAATTCTGCTGTTATTGTTCTTAAAGGATCTTATAGCAACCAAAGTAAAAGTTTCATTTAAAATCTCATTGTTCTCTGCTTTCTTACTCACACTGAATCACAAGCATTCCCATGGCTACTATCAAATTTGATCTTTCTGCCTCTTTCAAAAACAGTCTCAAGTTGCATGTGGACTCACTACTGTAGAAGTAAATAATAGGTTTGTGTAGCTGAATAAAAGCAGGCCATGATTAATCTCACTGCAGCTCAGTAACTACAGATTGTCGAAAAAAAATGTAGCGACAACTGCAGTGTTCCCCGAAGGGACCTTCTTCCACCGATCACTGACCACTGATGTCAGAGGCCAGTGATGTCAGTGATGGCAGCAGGAAACTACTGTAGGCTGCCACAGCTTGCTGCCGCAATGTAGAGAATTAAACATTATTGATTTACCGCCGCCAACTACATGGGAAGAAAGTGAAAAGTGAAGTGAAAAAAGCCACTTCTGTGACAATCTCATGAAGTTTACAAGTTCACTGTTTGAAAGCATTAGAAGAGCTTAAATCAAACCTGAAGAATCAAAATACAGTACAGAGGCTGTTTTATAAAAACTGAAGGCTGAGCAAGAGATTATTTTTTAAATTAAGTGTTGCATTTCATTTTGATTTTTTGTACATTTACAGCACATTTATAGGTAATGAAAATAGATGGTTGCTGCCTATAGTTATGTTAACATGTCACAATGGTGCAGTTTCAGTTCAGTCAGCTTTTCATTTTGGCACACATAAACAATATTAGTTACTAGTCACATACCTGATGCAGAGCTCCAATAATCTTGCGTGTTTCTTGGTAAATAGTCTCTGGGCTCCAATGACCATTAATGTGTTTCAGTGCCTCTGCAATCCGATTGTGTTCCCTAAGCCACAGTACATGCAAACAGATCAGGGGCAGACCCTCATTAACCCGACTGTCTCCAGCACTGAAACACTCCACTCTCTCCCCATGTGGACCCTGTTGGCAGGCTGATGGCACTGAGTGAGGCTGAGTGGCTATGAATGGAAGGTAAGGTCTTCCTTTGGGATCCCTGAATTGGTCGTTGACAGCAAGTTTCCCATTGAGGCCAGAGAGGTCACGGAGGGAGCTCTCCAGCTTTGGAGTGTGGCCATACACACCTGAAGCATCTATAAATGATGTGATGACGTTCATCTGTTGTCGCTGCAGAGCTTGTTGAATATCAGACCCAAAATTAATGAAGCAGGCTGGTCTGGAGCGAAAAAACGGCATGCAGCTTTGTACTCCAGTGATAGTATCTCCTGTCTGTAAAGAACACAAAATTATTATTACATGCTGCTTAAATAGTAACTATAACTACTTATGATCTATTTATCAAATGTATTGGTGATAGGAGAATGATAAAAGGGTAGTTTTGGTGATTACGCTTATCAGCTTTCTTGCCAAACTAGATGAGAAGATTGACTCCATTCATATGTTTGCCGTTTCAATATGAGCCTGTAGCTGGCAGCCAGTTACCTTAGTTTAGCATCCTATTTATCCTCAGTTTGTAATGTTAAAGATGAATCTTCCATGCATGCTAAAGTTAGTCACGGAGTTCCACAAGGTTCTGTGCTTGGACCAATTCCATTCACCTTACATATGCTTTGGCAACATTATCAGAAATCACTTAATAAACTTTCATTGTTATGCAGACGATACCCAATTATATATGTTAATGAAGCCAGAAGGACATACAAACCTGGATGACAAAACTCATAGAAATAATGAAGTTATTGTACTTGGCCCCAAACAACTCAAAAATTCACCATCTAAAGATATAGTTTCTCTTGAAGCCATTGCCCTGGCCTCTAGCACCAACATCAGGAATCCTGGAGAAATCTTTGATGAAGATATGTCTTTTAACTCCCATATAAAACAAACTTCAAAGACTGTCTTCCTTCATCTACAACATATTGCAAAAATTAGGTATACCCTGTCTCAAACAGACGCCGAAAAATGAGTCCATGCATTTGCTACTTCTAGACTGGATTATTGCAATTCCTTATAATCAGGTTGCTGCAACACATCTCTTACAACTCTCCACCTGATCCAGAATGCAGCGGCACGTGTACTAACGGGAACTAAGAAAAGATCATATTTCACCTGTTTTAGCTTCTCTGCACTGGCTTGTTGTAAAATCCAGAATTTAATTTAACATCCTTCTCCACACTTACAAAGCTCTAAATGGTCAGGTTCCATCATATCTCCTAGCTCCTAGTTGTCTTTTGTCCTACCAGAACACTGGGTTCCGAGAATGCAGGATTACTTGTCATACCAAGAATGTCCAAAAGTAGAATGGGAGCCAGAACCTTAAGCCTTCAGGCTCCTCTTCCGTGGAACCATATTCCAGTCTGGGTCTGGGAGGTGGACACCATCTCCACATTTAAGAGTAGACTTAAGACTTTCCTTTTTGATAAAGCTTATAGTTAGGGCTGGCTCAGGCTTGTCTTGGACCAGCCCGTAGTTAGGCTGATACAGGCCTAGTCTGCCAGGGGACTTCCCATGATACACTGAGCATCTCTCTCCTTCTGTCTCCAATTGCAAACATACCCCATTACTGCATATTACTAACTTGGTTTCTCCCCCGCAGCTTTTGTGCTTTCCCGTCTTGCAGATTTGCACGGATCAGTGTTGTGCCTGGATTGTGGGTCATCTTTGCATTACTGCCTGATGCATACTACTACTGCTATTATTATTAGCGCTGTGTGTCTGACCATTTCTTGAGAGCTGTGAATTCCCTGCCCTGGTCCTTACTTTTGAATTGAGTTGATTTGTCTGACATTGTGACATTCAACAGCAGTTTTTCAGTTAAGGTAAAAAAAAAAACAGATCAAATGAGCACTGCAGGGAACCAGATTAGCCAACCAGTACCATGGGCTCAACCAACGGTCTTGTCAAGCTGTTATCAAGCAGTTGTCAAGCAGTGCACCGGAACCATTGATGAGTAATAACAACAATGGCAAACGCTACAGGCAAGATAGATGCTACTATCATGGCTGTTCTAAGTCGACATGTCTTCTTAGTATCACCTGACATTGTAGTTTGTTTTTACGCCTTTAAAACCCTGGCAAAACCAGTATGTTGGCATGGCTACACATCAGTGGCTACGGTTACATGATGGCTTCTCATTCGGAATGAAATAAATCTGAATGAAATCATTCGGAATTAAAGTCTTTCCAGGTAGTTTACATGGGAAATATTCATTCCGAATGAGGGTTTACATGGGAGATCAGTTCAGTCGCCTTTATTCAGGTCTGCGTAAGGTTTGGGGCAGGGAAGGTTTCTGATTGGATAGGGGGCGGGGCGGATGTTATGTGTTTACGTTTACCGGAATAAAATACTGTAGTCCTCGCTCCGGATAACAACATGCTTGATGACGCTGTTCTTAGTGCCTTTTTCGGGCGTGTTTTGCTTATATTCTTGAAGCAGCAGTACGACAACAACCTCTTTCTGCTAATGCTTCATCTGTTGAGGAGGAGAAGGGAGGTAGAAGACCATGCTGTGGCGAATGGAGACCGGTTGGTGCAACGCGTCGGGCGCGCACTATATACATCATCGCGCCAGAAGGGCAAGGAAACGAGCATGTGCAGAAAGACCGGAATGAACTTATAGAGGAATGAGTGTATACATGCACACAAAATTCTTTCATTTGGAATGACAAACGGAATAAACCACCCCCTTTAATCGGATTTAATTTTCAATCGGAATGACCATTTACATGACCACTTTTAATCGGAATGGCCTTTCATTCCAATTAAAAGTGGAATTAAACTGTGCATGTAAACGTACTGAGTGTGGACTGAAAATGGTCTGGATTTAGGTGAATGACTTTGTCTCTAGTGAATTGAATCCCCCTCCCCAAGGATGCAATGTTAGACTAAAGTTAGTAACAGACTTTAACACGTTGACAGTTCTATCTGAATTCCAGAAGTCTCAGCTTTTGTGTGGGAAATGAGGGACTTCAGGAAGTCAGCCTTTATGCTAACCTAAGCTAACCAGCTAGCTACAGGCTTCATATTGAACAGACAAATACTGTATGAGAGTAGCATTGATCTTCTCATCTACTGTAACTCTAAGCATATTCCCAAAATGTGGAACTATCTCATTAAAATACAGAATTGTAACAAGACAGCAAACAAAATACAGTATAGATTGGCAAAATGTCCAAAGACTGTTGTGCTTTTAGTTTACCTCAATTGGAAAGCATGGATGCACATTCTGACATGTGTTCAAACAGTCCGGGCCACTCCAAATAGAAGCACTGCTTTTGCTTTGAGGAGTTAAGGTTATGTCGTGGTCGATGTACTGGCCCCACTCTACCAGCAGGTCAGAATAGACATCATCTGTCTGTTTAGAAGAGCTTCTCATTATTTTCTTGCTGACTTCCCATGGCTGTTAACATAGACAGATTTGTTATTTTGGACAACAGTGAGTACTACATTTTACAGTGTGCAATTGCATTTTCTCCCAGCCATCTCTGCAGTGACTTGCCATGTATCAGTCAGTGTTTTTCTTATCTCGTCATTAACAGAAATTAATATATTTTCTGGGGAAGGCCCATTGTGTCCCAGTCAGGGGTTATGATGGATAATAGCTTTCTTGTTTGTGTGAACTAGTTCATTCTTTAATTCACTAAGTTATGTTATAAATAGATAAATGGCTTAAGTTCAACAAAGGGGCTGTGATATGTTCTGGCAAGCCTCTTTTCTTTCATATCCTAATTTCTCCAACAAAAAGGACTTTGGGAGCTGATTAAAAATGAGTTATGCAATACATCAAGTATCCAAGATTTTTTTAAACTTGCTTTTTAATAAGAAATGGAATAGTTGGGATCAAAGATTATTAATTAACTAAAACACTTTAGTTAATTATCGCTCTTATATATGAAGGTACACCGCATGCTGGATACAAATGATGCATATTTGATGAGTTTTTCTTCCACTAAAGGACTCACTCTGTCTAATGAGTGCATAAATTAAACACTGAAATCAAATACAAACATCAGTTTCATCTGCTATTTGAAAGAAATGTTTTTCCACATGACTGGAAACCAACAACTTTCAAGCTATGGAAATGGTGTCCTTTAGAGCACAGGCCACAATATTCAAATGCAACTGTAATCTGTGTCATCTCACACACATTTTTGCTGTTCCTAAATTGCTGTGGACTTTATCTGCTGTAAAACAGGTTAGAAAAATAAATGGAAAGCTACATTAACTTGGATTTGCAGTGTGAGCTTGCTTCATTTCTAATTTCTCCAGCAAGACTTTTGTGTCCCTCGGACCAGCATTTTGTAGATTACCGAGGGAAGTTGGAATCCATTATGGAGCCATCCTCGGTTCCAACCCTTGGGTTCTCTCCCTCCGTCTTCATATTCAGCTGGAAGCCACCTGACCAAGGGAGTGTTGGCTGCTCCCCAAAGAGGATTTTGCCTGACAAAAAGAATCACGAAGCATGTCCAAAAATACTGCATTATAAAACAGTATATGTCAGCGCTGAATCCAACATTATTTGTTTTCCCCTCTAAAAGGTCATCAACAAAAACTATGACAATTATCTTTCCCCAACCTTGACCTGTATTTACTAAGAGTAGATATAACAGGAAAACAAATGAGGTCCATTGTCAGTGAACATTTTACTAATTTCAGTATAGACATTTTAAGACATGCCAAATACACTAATTAAAGTTTCCTCATTATGCAATTAAGAACATAATCCCGATGGCATTGTGTTTCTTTCAAAACGTATTTGCTGCTGCAAATCAGTAGTGTATAAACATAATTTCCAGGAGACAGGGTAAAGTAAAAGCAGAAGGGGTCTATAGAGGGTAATGACCACCAATTTTAAAATGAAATCAGTCATTAAATCTGAACTTTTCTTTGCCATTCTTATACAACATTATGTATGACATAATCAAAATTAAATTTAAAAATAAGGGCTTTACTTTTATCTTGATGTTATGTTGATGTAAAAATGCCTACATTTCAATAATAAAGAAGTCTTCATAGAAATAATGTTTAATTTGGTAGACAATGTGCTGCCTAACTTTATACATTTAAAGAGGCAGTGTGTAGGATTTAGAGTGATATATTGGCAGAAATGGAGTGTAGTATTCATTACTATGTTTTCATAAGAAACGTTGTGTTACATTAACTTAGAATGATATGTACATACAAAGCAGGTCCTCTTCCACGGAGTCCACCATGTTGTTTCTACAGTAGCCTTGAACGGACAAACTAAACACTGTCTCTAGATGGTGTTTTTAAGTGTTTTTGTGTGAGCCACTGTAGTTTTCCTCCACAATTGGCACACAGGAGACGTTTCAGTTGGTTGAAAAGTAGAACTAGGGTTTTTCCATTTTTAATACGCATGAAGGTATAGTGGGGGTTGGGATTACCAAAATGGTGAGAAATGGCTTTTACCTCCTCTACTCTTTTTTTTATTGTTTTACTTTGACTTGTTCCATAAAGAATCTCCTTGCATTGTTGGTTTTTATATTGCAAGTATTTTACATCACTTACTTTGCTTCATTTTAGTCCTGGTTCTTTGCCTTATCAAAATGTAAGAAGTCAGTTAGTTACCTGTTATTGCAGATGCCAGATATGGAGCGGTACTTGTTGAGATGACTATTCAGACAGATGGCTGGATGCGTTACAGGCGGACATTGAGACAGCTCTGCAATCAGCTCCACATCCTCCCAGGAAAGCAACTCTAGCATTGTGACATGGGAAAGTTAGCACAAGAAAATGTAATGGACATTGATCTTGCCAACCTTTTAGAGCTTAGGACACACACTAATTGAAAATGCTGGTCTTTGTATTTTTATTCTTCCTTTATGAGGACTTTGATGTTCCATTGCTTTAAATATCTAGTCTATTGATGACTAACAAAATGGAAAAAAACAGTGGCAGTGTCACAATTATAAATTTGTTTTTGTGTTAATTTTATTTTGACTCTATGGAATCCAACTGCCTCTGAAGATTTCTTTCAAGGTGAAATTCTCTGGATTTAATGAAAGAAAGTCATTCTACCTGGTACTGTGACATCCCTTTTAAATCTCTGCCTAACTCTGTTCTTTAGGACTTGCAGAGTTGTTTGAAAAACCTCTGCAGCTCGGGAAGTCTCCAGGGTCTCAGGCTCGGTTTGCCGAAAGAATGTAAACACATGCATGGAAGATGAGGGTGAGCTTCGTCTGGGCACAGAAATTGACAGATAAAAGGAAAGCTTTGGGTTGTGTCTTCTTAGACATGTATTGTTTCAGTTAAAATAATTTGAAAATGTATTTAATAGTTCATTACTGTTGTCGAGAGTGGATTGAGGCTTCCTGTACAGTTTGAAGACTCTCTTGATATGAGGAGATCAGCAGTTCTCTGATTGATGTGGCTGGAAGATATATTGCATAACAGCATGAAAATCAACAAGAATATTATCTGTAAATATGATTACACAAGTTCAGTATGTAGAATACAATTTTGAGGTATTTGTATTTTCATTGAGAATGTGATAGATCTGATGCTACTGTCTGCTCCTACACTTAACTGTGAGAGACATATTGTGCTGTTGTCATCATCAGATCATGTTTTTACATGTAAGTGCATTGGATAAGATTATAGAATACAAAAAAATGAATTAGGGAACACTCAAATCACACATCAGATCTTGGTGAATGAATTATTCATGTTGAAAATCTTTACTGATGTACAGCGTATAATCTGTAGAACAAAATGATGTAACAATGGTCGATTGAAACCAAAATCACTAACCCGCTGAGGACTGGATTCAAAATGAAACCAAAAATCAAAGTGAAAAATTGAAATTACAAGCTGATCCAACGTGTATGGCCTAGTGTGCCCGTATGCAGTCCTGACAAAGTCTGCGCATGCTCCTGATGAGTTGGTGGATGGTGTCCTGGGGAATCTCCTTCCAGACATCGATCAGGGCATCAGTGAGCTCCTGGACAGTCTGTGGGGGTACTTGGCGGCATTGGTTACACTAATGGGTGCCCGTTGTGCTCAGTTGGATTTAGGGCAGGGGAACAAGAGGGCCAGTCAATAGCATCATCCAGGAAGCAACCCAGGGCCCACTGCACCAGCGTAAGGTCTGACAGTTGCTCTGAGAATTGCATCCAGGTACCTACAGTAACAGCAGTCAGGGTGCTGTTGGCTATGACATGGAGGTCTGTGCTACCCATATATGCCTCCCAGACCATCACTGACCCACCACTAAACTGGACATGCTGGATGATGTTACAGGCAGCATGATGTTTACTATGGCGTCTCCAGACTCTTTCACACCTGTCTCGTGTAGGCCTCATGATATCATAGAGAACAGTGTAAGAACTCTAAAAAATGACACACAGGGTCCAATGGAGTGGGTGCTGGATTGACGAAATATCAATAAATAAGTATATAAGTATAAACAAATAGATCTGCACACCAACAAGCTCGTATGAGAAGGCCTTTAATGCTGTGTAAGATTTTGAGCTTGTTGCTCCCTTACACAAAATCCAGGGTAGGGCAGGGTTTTCACATTAATAATAACATTATTAACACTGAACTGTGGAAATCTGAGTCCTTCAATGCTGTCTTTTGTCTGAAGAAAAAAATGACTTGTGCAGCCACTTTGAGTGGGCTGAGGTTGCAGGAAATGTCACTTTTCACAAATGAATACATATCTGTGGAGTCTAGTGATCCCAACAACATGAAATGCCATTTTGGCAAATCTAATCCAAACAACAATTGGAGGTGGTTTGAAATGTGATTCCAATAGCATTTTTATAGATGTGTCTCAGTCCAAGCATTTGCTGCTCAAATCAGATTTAAAAGGGTCTTTGAACACAACACACAAAGATGATGTCAAATCCAGAGCCCTCAGCAGATCCATGCTGCCACTGGCAGAGTTGTAAAGAGGACAACATGAGGAACAACTGTCTGTGGACAGAACCCAAAATGAATTGTCTGGAGGGCAAAATGATGGACCTCCATGTCTCATGCTTCTGTGCTGGATAACCACATCACCATTGTTGCTACATAGTTAAAAACGCCTACATCATAACCACAGCAACCAGTGCAGATAGGTTGGTGATGTCTGGACACACAATTCCTATCTGATTACTTGCAAATAACATATAACAAATAACAGACAGTCTGTCTTCAAGATCTGATTTGAGAAACAAATCTGATTTGCCTGCAGTCTGAACATAGCCTATTAGCTGTTTCTATTATAGCTTCATTTTAGAAATCATTTTGAGGCTCACATAGGTAAAAGAAAAATTAACTCAAATTTGTGTGCCAGAACCTTGTTTTTCCTTCCTGGTCGTCATGACTCCTCCAATTCATCTTGTGATACCTTGTTAGTGTGCAGAAATTATTTGTAGTTGTGGGAAAAAAATGTGGGCGGCACGGTGGTGTGGTGGTTAGCACTCTCGCCTCACAGCAAGAGGGTTGCCGGTTCGATCCCGGGCGTGGGAGCCCTTCTGTGCGGAGTTTGCATGTTCTCCCCGTGTCAGCGTGGGTTCTCTCCGGGCACTCCGGCTTCCTCCCACAGTCCAAAGACATGCAGATTGGGGACTAGGTTAATTGATAACTCTAAATTGTCCGTATGTGTGAATGTGAGCGTGAATGGTTGTTTGTCTCTATGTGTCAGCCCTGGGTGTACCCTGCCTCTCGCCCAATGTCAGCTGGGATAGGCTCCAGCCCCCCCGCGACCCTCAAGAGGATGAAGCGGTTAGAAGATGAATGAATGAATGAAAAAAAATGTCAAAATTTTTTTTTACACACCCTGCCACCTTGATTCTAATTTCTAAAACATGAATTAGCCTAACTGGATTAGTTCAATGATAGAAAACATACAGAAAACATGACAACTAAAAGTTCACTAAAATGTTGTGAATTTTTGGCGACTAAAATGTGTTAAAATTTCATTAACTAAAACTAGACTAAAACTATCAAGAAGAAAAATGACTAAAATGTGACTAAAACTAAAAAGCATTTTCATCTCAAGACTAAGACTAAATCTGAAATAACTGGTAAAAGTAACACTGTAGCGAAGCAGTCCACAGCAGCAGGAAGCAAGGTGGAGGGACCATGAGCTGCTGGCTAGCTAATTCTTTTCTCATTTGTAGTCTGATAAAAAAAGAAAGAGGCAGTGGGGTGAGGAGGAGCTGAGCGAATGTACTATGGGCAACTCTACAATGAAACAAGATTAAATAAATCAAAGTATGCAAAAAAAATGGGGTACTGTTTGAAATGCGTACATATACTCATGTTCTAGGGGTGGGAATTGCCAGACGACCCACAATACAATATTATCATGACACTTAGGTCACGATACGATATTGTTGCGATATTGCGATATGCTGAGTATTGCTGCAAATTATTTCCCAAAAGGAAAACTTTGTCAACACTAGTTTTGCCTCATATGATCTCATGAAAATCTGTTAATTTGACTGTAACCATTTTTATTGGAGCAAAATGTGATGCAAAGCAGACAGACTGACCAACACTGTCAGAAAGCCTGTGAGAAATGCTGCATACACCTGACAATCTGAACTGTTGGCAGATTTAGTGACCTCGAAGAGGCCAGATCAAGCATGTGAGCCAAACACCTCACAAGCAGGTATCCCGCTAATTGAATGGCAGCACCTATGTTGGAAGCATCGCCTGTTGTATATAATAAAAGATTGATACTTTGTGTCCCTGTATCTATAAAATATCACCACGCAAAATATCGGATACTATGTTCTATCAGTTTTTAACCCCACCCCTATCATGCTCGTCTGGTGGGAGGGGCTTAGGACAGGTAGTGGAGAGCTGAAGGGGGAAGGCAAGTTTTAAGTACAGGATCTGAGTACTACTGTATAGTTAGTCCCAACATTTGTTTCTGCGCACCTTACAAGTGCTACATTATGCAGCATTTTAAATTAGTGAAAAAATAATTAGCATTTCCGTGTATTTGAGCAGTGGTGTAGGTAGTGACAACGGGCCCCAGTGCACACTATTATGAGGGGCCCTATTACGCCCTAGTTACAAGTTATCAAACACACACACACACACACACACACACACACACACACAGAGTTTTAGGTGTATATATATTTTAGCGACAGTGTGTCTTACTGCTGCTTTTACGTTACATCCACTTGTATGGGTGCCGTTTGTAAAGTGGCTTACGCTGAAAATAACATCAACATTTTGCCACATTTAGCTTCAAACACTGTTTAAAAAAGTGTTGTGAATTTTTTAACGTCACCTTTTACCACATTTACAGCAATATTTGTTAACTTAGAAATATATTAAATAGTTAAATCTAAATATTAAATGTGGCACCTAAATGTTAAATGTTAAATCTAAATATTAAATCTAAATCTAAATCTAAATGTTAAATCTAAATGCTAAATCTACATCTAAATATTAAATCTGAATCTAAATCTATATTTAAATGCTAAATCTAAATATAAATATAAATATAAATGTTAAATCTAAATATTAAATGTGGCACCTAAATGTTAAATGTTAAATCTAAATATTAAATCTAAATCTAAATCTAAATGTTAAATCTAAATGCTAAATCTAAATCTAAATGTTAAATCTAAATATTAAACGTGGCACCTAAATGTTAAATGTTAAATCTAAATGCTAAATCTAAATTTTAAATCTAAATGCTAAATCTAAATCTAAATATTAAATCTAAATCTAAATGCTAAATCTAAATCTAAATGCTAAATCTAAATATAAATCTAAATATGAAATCTAAATCTAAATGTTAAATCTAAATGCTAAATCTAAATGTTAAATGTTAAATCTAAATGTTCTGGGTGAAACTAAATATTTAGCTAATATGCAAATTCACGCTGCCGGTCACTGGAAGTACCAAAATAAAAGCTCGAGATGGTCAGACTGTGTTTATAGAATCAAATAACGAATTAAAACCAACGTATCGGGGGAAATGAACACTTAAACATACATTAGCGTGGGGCGTCGGTGGCTTAGTGGTAGAGCAGGCGCCCCTTGTACAAGGCTGTTGCCGCAGTGGCCTGGGTTTGACTCCAGTCTGTGGCCCTTTGCTGCATGTCTCTCCCTCTCTCTCTCTCTCCCCCTTTCACACTTCACTATCCTATCAATTAGAGGCAAAAAATGCCCATAAAAAATATCTTGAAAAAAAAAAAACATATATTAGCGTGATAATAACTACCTTGACGTGTACTTTGAGTTGTTAGTGTCCCTTCAGAGGGAATCATTTAGTTTAGCTACATATATATATGAATATCTCACATTTTTCACATCACTATATCACAGCTTAGACTAATCTGGTGTTTGTAAAGTCTATAAACACAATGATTGAACAAACATTACTATTTCTGTGTGCACGTTTTGAAATTCATAACATGGTTATCGTAGATTAGCAGGGCTAACCGTTAGCTGTTAGCCCCGTCAGTGGTGTCTGTAATGACTCATTAACTCTAAACGGTCCGTGAAAAAAATATTTTTTTCCAGCGGATGTCTTAGTTACAACATGATTGAGCTAGCAAAGCAGTTTTGTGTTGCGATGTGTAGTAGTTTCATGGGAGGCTTTTAACAGATGACGTCCTGATGTTAGCTTTGCTGCTGCTGCGGCCACTGATGCTTTCTAGACATCGTGATTTCCCAAAACTGAATAAATACCACACATTGCAACGTTATCTACGATAACCATATTATTATTTACAAAATGTGTTTGTTGAATCATTGTGTTTATAGACTTTATAAACATCAGATTAGTCTAAACGGTAATATAGTGACGTGAAAAATGTGAGATATTCATCTATATGTAGCTAAAGTCTGCTGGTTTTCTACCCGGAAGTATTTGTTAACAACAAGGCAATTCCCTCCAAGGGGACACTAACAACTCAAAGTACACGTCAAATAAAATTTCTCCAAACATGTTTCTTGTTATTTTAGGTAGTTATTATCACGCTAATGTATGTTCAAGTGTTCATTTCCCCCGATACATTGGTTTTAATTCGTTATTTGATTCTATAAACACAGTCTGACCATCTCAAGCTTTTATTTTGGTACTTCCGGTGACCAGCAGTGTGAATTTGCATATTAGCTAAATATTTAGTTTCACCCAGAACATTTAGATTTAACATTTAACATTTAGATTTAGCATTTAGATTTAACATTTAGATTTAGATTTAATATTTAGATTTAACATTTAGATTTAGATTTAGCATTTAGATTTAACATTTAGATTTAGATTTAGATTTAATATTTAGATTTAACATTTAGATTCAGATTTAGATCTAGCATTTAGATTTAACACTTAGATTTAGATTTAATATTTAGATTTAACATTTAACATTTAGATTTAGATTTAGATTTAATATTTAGATTTCACATTTAGGTGCCGCAGTTAATATTTAGATTTAACGATTTAATATATTTCTAAGTTAACAAATATTGCTGAAAATGTGGTAAAAGGTGACGTTAAAAAAATCACAACACTTTTTTAAACATTGTTTGAAGCTAAATGTGGCAAAATGTTGATGTTATTTTCAGCATGAGCCACTTTACAAAGGGCACCCCATACACTTGCAGATACTTTATATTGGACACATTAACATACATATTACACAGCAACCATCATTACATATCTGTATAAGACAAATCTACAAAAGAAAATGGGAAATTATTAGTTTAACTTGATAGTTTTTTTATTGAAAATTATAGGTTTTTTTTAAATAATTTATGTAGAATAAGTTTATAATTTGTTATAGATTGACTCTGTTTTACAAAACCAGAAAACCATGATGGAGATGGGTTTGCCTTATTTAGGGCACGTACGGAAAATAGCACCATTTTTGTTTTAATATGAGTTCTTCTTTGAACACGGGCGTATTTCCAGGTGGCAGTCGGGCCTCTCCACCCCATGGGCCCCAGTGCAACCGCACTGCCTGCACTGTTTATATTTACGCCCCTGTATTTGAGGCATCATCAGTCAATACACAAACCCAGAAGCAGGAGCCTTCCAAGTCTTATATGCAGCATTTTTACTTGAATGTCATTGTGTCAGATTTGGTAGTAAATCTTCTGACTTGCTTTAAAGCAAAACAGACATTTGAATAAAAAACAATTAGAACATACTGTCTTCACTGTGAAGGCTGTTTTTTGTCTTTGTTTCTTTCTGTTTACAAGATATACAGAGAAAAGGTTCAGTGAGACGTAACAATGTTAACTGTGCTGCTGACATTTCCATGGGTTTATCATCTTCCACACAGATGCAGGTGAGTCATAACCAAATACGGTTTAAACTGATTAGTTTTAAATCATATGTTTGTATCATCATTCTTTACTACAATTATTTTTCCAATCCCTATATTTCAGGTATTTTCATAAATGATCAAACATTGTAGATGCAAATACATTTCAGCGAAAGCAGTTATTTACAAAGGTTTACTTACAGTTTAAATGTGTGGCTTCATCTGTTGTAATCCTTGGGAGAATAATGCAGAGGAACACAAAAAGGCAAATTAAATTGAAATAACAAGCCATTTTATGTGGGCAGTGAACAGTGAAAGAGTCAAAGATTTTCACTGTAACAGTAAAGACTTATCTCAGTGCTGTGTGCACTGACAAACCCGTCCTTTTATATTCAGATAAAGCAGGGAGCCCTTTGTGAAGGTTAAGTAAACTTGCCCACACTAGAGTAACTCAGAGAATCACTGTTTCTCTTGTCTTTGGTTGACTGGCTTGAAAAGGAACTTGTTTTCCTGTTCATTATCTCAGCCATTTTCAGCCATTTGGTAGGTTCTGGAACTCCATGTAACAATCCCAGATATAATACGGACACATTGTACAGACACATATAGTGAGTGATATAGCCCAAACTACAACAAGGAGTCCAGAGGTCCCTGTGACCGGGGCATTATCATGAGATGAGATGTCGAAGAACTTTGTTAGTTGACATTCACTAGTCCACCGGGCTGGCAACACTAGAGGACAAAAGGCATGAAATCACTTTTTAACAAATAAAACACTCCAGCTATGATGAAGGGTGGATTGTAACTCATAAACTGGACATATTCTGAATTCCTGTCCCTCTGCACCCTTTTACACCCCCATCACATTTTTGGTTATGGGTGCACTATGCAAGATTTTCCTCAAAAACAATGTATTGACTTATACAAAGGTAATGGTTCTCAATCATCACTTGTGACCCACTAGAAGTGTGTGGTGGTGTATTTATCTGCAGATACTCTGCCCTCTACCTGGATTCTTATTTTCTTCTTTTTTTTTTTTTTTTTTGCTGTGTTTGGGATGTTCCTGGGCACAACGCAGGTGAGGTCGGGACTTTATGAAAAGATAGCAACCAGGTGCCAGACCGCAAGCAGCATGCATCAAAAAAGAAGCTACAAAAATCGATAAAAAAAATACCACCAAAAAAACCCTCTGCTACATAGCAAGATAAATTGCTTGTCTCACTTTCACAATTTGTGCATTGCTGACCACCTCAATCCCCCTTTGTTAACATCAAACTGCTAGTTATAACCAAACGTATCAGAAAAGCAAACATACAAACCCACAGCAGCGTGATAAGAACTATCTAAAATGACTGATGCCATCCAAAATGTATTTGACGTGTACTTGGGAGTTTTTTGTTCAGCCCATGTCCCACCTGAGGGGGTGGGGATTGTGACCTGTACTGCAGCCAGCCACCAGGGGGCGATTGAGATGTTTTGGCTTCACTTTTGGGAATCTGTCTTGATGTCCATCTTTATATACAGTCTATAGCCAAAAACATTAGCTCTCTGAGCATTACCTCCCCTTGGCATTTTGTTCCCTGGATAGGCTTATTCCACAAAATGGCCACCGTGACCAGTTGGACTCATTTTTGAATACTAAGGAATGTTCTACAACATTTTTTTTCTATGAAGAGTTCCTGAAGTGGAACAAAGCTCTGCACTAGCAAACTTGCTAACTGTCCATTTGTAAGCTAATTAGCTTGGTTGCCAGCAAGACATGAGTTCACAGTTAATTTGTTTACAGTCTGCAAACCATACCTCATTTGTAAAGCACTTCAACAGAAGGGTCTTATGTACATAATATTAAACATGTAAAAACAATTAGAAATCAGTTTCCATCCAAATTCGAAACATCTGTCTTTTAAGTTTTTGTACATTCTTGAAATTGGGTTTGATTTGGCCATGGTTATCTCTGAGATTTATTATGCAATAAATTCCAAACCAATATAAATCATCCGTCATCCGTCTCATCCCGCCCCCCAGTGGCAGCGCAACAAAACCTTTCTGCTCCAGCTAAATCTGCCTCTTTGAGTCTGAGCCAACAAACAGCTTTCTAGTCTGATGTTTAGAAAATACAGATCGTAAACTGGCTGAACCGCTCGGCTGCGACCCAGCGGAGGCTCTGCCTCCGGCGGGCTCCCAGCAGCACTCGAATCAGGTTGACCGGCTCCAAAGCCCGGACCATCCAAGCCTTTGCAGCTCGTGGAGCTGTAGGAAGAGGCAGCTTGTGACCCTAACCCCAACCCCAAGCAGTTAGCTTTGCTACGCATAAACAAATCCCCAATCGCGGACGTGATGCTGTGGGAAACAACACAATTTTAGTTAGAGGGGAACATTACTCGAGGCGGGCAAATACTTCTACGCCAGAGAGACGGCTGGCCGGCACCGGTCTCTCCTGCTTTGAGGGTCGGTGTGTGTCAGAGTAAATACATATTTAATCTATTAAGACTGGATGTGTTTGAATGAAAAAGGCTATTATCAGAAAAACGGAGCAGATTTATGTTTTCAATGAAAACGTATCTCAATGAAGAAAGGCAAAGCGCTAGCCTCCCGTTGTCATTCATCTCAGCTAACATTGCATGTAGAAGTTATGCTAACTATTCTACTTAGTAACATTAATATGAATCACAAAACATTTTGAAACTTACCATTCAGTGACCACCTGAAAGGAATCATTTTCAGCTGGCAGGGCTTCTGCTTCGTCCTCTGAGTCATCAGAGGGCTCAAACATGTACGCCTGGATTAAATTTGTGGCAGCCATTGCTGAGCCAGCGAGATGTTAGTCAAAACGATGGAGCTGTCAGTCAGAACGTTATCTGCCACTCCCACTCTGTCCTGGCAAGTGGTCTAAACAGCAAAATGAGCTGTTTTTAAACCAGGTTTTCTAATAGTTATGAATGGTTATTTTCACTCAGACTTTTGTGAATGATTAATGAGACACTCGACTTTAATATAATATATGCATTTTTACTATTTCAAGGTGTGTTTCCAAAGGCTTTAAATTAAAGCAGATTGTGCCACACAGCTACAATAATGTCATCCATTTTGGACTCTCTGGCTCACCTTTACCTCATGGTTCAGCACTGTCTACAGTTGTTGCTCACATTTAACAAAAGTTGAACTGTATGCAAAACCGTGGAGCATTTTTTTCATAAATGAGAAAATCTACCAAAGAAGGCAATTCAATGGGAATTAAGTGCTTTTGCTACAAAATTTCACAGTTGTAAATTACATTTATATCTCCATCAATTAAATTAATTAAAAACATGCAGTCAAAAACACTTTAGCCCTTGAATACTGAAGTCTTTGCAGAAGCACCCTAAAATAGACCTCAGTCTGAAAACAACACTTTTGAGTGTTACCGTTTATTGGACTTAGTGAACTTGTCACTAACTTTACTTCAATGGTATAACTATTAAAACAAAAAACACATTATCAGCTGCAGTCATTGCAGTCTCCTGGGTTTGCAGTGCTGCTTCTTTCATTGTGCTTCCATCCTCCCAAGGCTATTTTCAGAGTTTAACATGCAGACTGTAGGGATTACTAACAATGAGAAAGGCCATGGCAGTGGTCCCGAAGTTGCCCTGGAAACTTCTCCTCATCACAAATACTTCAGTTAGCATTCAGGGTCCAGTGCTGCCAGCAGAGTCAACTGTGAGAGTCACGGCCCATTGATAGTTGAGCAGTGTACTTGAAATTCATGCTTGACATGGTGCTGATGCAACTTGATGATGCTGTGTGTGTGGCAGTAGCCGGCAGTGACTTCAGCAGTAGGCACAGTGGAGGCTCTCTGTGCACTCTTGTCACAGTGCCTGGTTTAACTCCAACGCTGTGTTGTGCAGTGTTTCAGACAAAACTTTCAACAAATGAATCTCAGAGTTAGTAGAGAATGAAGTGAATGACATCCAAAGAAAAACTTACGGCATATATCTGAATATTTTGTGCTCAGTGTGGAGGCAGGCAGACTATTATGCAATACTTAGTATGCTTAGTTAGTGTTAACTAAACCTTAAACATGTCTTAAGGACATAAAAACCTGGATGAGCTCCTATTGATGTTAAATTTACACAAAACTGAAGTTATTGTTCTCGGTCCCACACATATAAGAAACTCTCTCTGATGACATAGTTTCTTTAGATGGCATTGCTCTGGACTCTACCACAACCGTAAGGAACCTTGGAGTACTATTTGATCAAGATTTGTGTTTTAACTCCCTTATTCTTCACAGAAACACGGAGGCAAAACAGAACACAGCCAGCTTCTGTTTTTTTGTGCGACACTTCCGGTCCAGCACTCTTGACCACTGTGTAAATGGGAATCGCCTTGTTGTTTACCTTGTTGAGTTTAGCTATATATATATATCCCATTTTTCACGTCACTATATCACCGTTTAGACTAATCTGATGTTTGTAAAGTCTATAAACACAATGATTGAACAAAGATTACTATTTCTGTGTGCACGTTTTGTAATTAATAACATTGTTATCGTGGATTAGCTGGGCTAACCGTTAGCTGTTAGCCATTACCCGTTAGCCGTTAGCGTTGTCTGTAATAACTCAATAAACGGTCCGTGAAAAAAATATTTTTTCCAGCGGAGTTACAACATGATTGAGCTAACTGGGGTAGTTTTATGTCGTATCCGACAACGGGAGGCTTTTAACAGATGACGTCCTGATGTTAGCTTTGCTGCTAGTGTTAGCTGTCCCTGTCAGCTGCAGCCACTGATGCTTTCTAGACATTGTGATTTCCCAAAACTGAATAAATACCACACATAGCAACACAAAACTGCTTTGCTAGCTCAATCATGTTATAACGGCTGGATGGTTGATGCGTACATGCTGATTCGGGTGCTATCAGAGCCGATCCATGCATCACTATGGCTTAATAATCAACTCAGTCCATAAAAACAACCCGTCCTGTGTTAGGAGTGTATGTCACCGACAGAAAGAAAGAAAAATGTAATAAAAGATAGAAAAGCAGCGTACACCTCACATATTTATTTCTCACAGTTGCGCACACGTTTGGCTGGCATGCAGAAGCACCGTCTGTGTGTCGAGGGTGCGAGCCGCAGCTTCAGCTGCTCAGGTAGAGAGGCTGTGTAGCCCGGTGTGTTTTTTTGCTGATTCGATTCTGCAGGTTCTCTGCTGGTTCACTGGAGACGGGGATCAAGCAGTTTGTCTCACTCGGGATAGAGTGTGCTTTTTGGTTCATAGTTTTTGATTGACATGCGATTTATTCGCGTTTAGAGGG